TTAATATGCTTTAAATCGCGCGCGCGATGATAGAATAAAATAATGTACTACAACTTTGTTGAACACATTATTATTTACAAAAATTGTCGCGACAGCATATATCTAACGATTACAGTTATGCCGCAAGAAGTGTTCTTTTATTTAAAAAAATAAAACAACGTCAAATATCGTTGATTTTTTTGTTAAAGACCCGAGCGCAGCCGGAGCGGGCCGCTAGCCAATATTTTTGTTTAGGACATTTAGAGCTTGGGCTTGATGTAATTTGTTCTTGTTCTTGTATTTGGCATAGAAATTCTAGCAGTCATTCAATTGTCCCAAGCTAGGAAGTGTTTGAAATCTTAGTTTTGCCTCCCATTTCGTACTGGATTCACTTGGAGTAGACAGTAATTGGAGTAAAATTTATTTTAAAGTATCTGGACATTTTAACACATAATTTAAACATTACAACACAATTTAGAAACATTTCTATTGGTTGTGACGGTTTCGATTTTAAATTGACCTGTAAACTTTTATACACATTTTGTGTTGTAACAAAAATAAGTGTCTGAATTCGAAATATCCTAATAGAAACTTAATGGCGACAAAAGTTATTAAGCAGAGGTAATAGTGTTACAACAACAATTTGTTTAAGATAAATAAATTTTTTATTACAAATTTAATTTATATACATAAAAAAACATAAATATGTAGCATAAAACAACTAAAATATTTTATAAACATAAGTATGAATGTATCAGAAAAGAAATCAATAAAAAAATAGTTTATTGCATCACAAAAATAAGCAAATCAAGAAAACATTAAAATACCGAAAATATTCCTTTGTTCCTCTCTTAAAATATATTTTTGATGAAATGAAAACAGTTTTTAGCGGTTTTATTTCTTAGAAATCACTTTTAAAAATTTATCCGCGACACATGTACGTTCCCACGTCTTCTAAATAAAAATATAAAAATAAGTAAACAAATCTCCAAGTCATTGCAACATTTGCCTCTTCAAAGATCAAAAGCAGACTTCGAGAGGTTCTTGGGGGGGCAAATCCGATACTTGATATTTTCGAAGGTTTCCCTAATTTGTTTACAAGAATCTACACAGAATATTCGATGAATTCATGCTCTCTAATAAAGGTCAACTCCCAGAAATGTATCTTACATATTTACGGTCATCGTTTGTCTTAATTATTTTTGAAGTTTGTAGATAACTTACAGATACTACTATCTATGTTATTGTGCAGCAAATGTGAATCACTTGTATCGGGTTAATTTTATTTCCATCCGTAGTGAGCTTTTGGTAATTAATCGAAACAAAAAACATTATACATGTCACAGTATTGTGTCGATCAGCTTGGCATGCATACAATCTATATGCTAATTTTCTACTTGGAGATTTCGGACATAAAATCTCGGATGAAGAATCGATAGATATGTTAAGATAGCAAACTAATTTATAGACATTTATTTGCTAGTTTGCATTATCTGTGTAAATTCCAAATCTAAATTTCACCATAAACCAATCATAAACTGGAAAACTCTGATTAATAATTACAATAATCCTGCTTATTTCTGTCACGAAGTTACATTTTTCAGTATGAAATGACAGATATACGAGAAAATTTTGAAAAGATATTTGATTAATTAATTTTTTTTTCCCCGATCCGGTAGTAGATTCANAATTACGCAAATTATAATTTTGCGGGTTTGATTTTTATTACACGATGTTATTCCTTCACCGTGGAAGTCAATCGTGAACATTTGTTGAGTACATATTTCATTAGAAAAATTGGTACCCGCCTGCGGGATTCGAACACCGGTGCATCGCTTCAACACGAATGCACCGGACGTCTTATCCTTTAGGCCACGACGACTGTGTCGCGGCAGAAAAAAAACCAAGATGATTACAGATACACGTGCAGACTTACCCCGATCATAGTGTGTAAGCAACAATATTAAAAACGCTTGTAACCTTTTGCATAGTTCCAAGGTTTCAATTGGCTCAAACGTACTTCAAATAACCTATTGGAAAAACCCTTCGAATAGTACAAATCAGTGAAGCTTCTCTGATTATTTATTTTAAAGCCAACAATACTTATTATGTAGATCCTTATGGTCGATTTGCCTAATCCGTGATTGAAAGTTGCCTTGTTGCGATGTTTTTCGCCGTTCCGAGGGATAACTAAGGGATTGTATGGATCCGCGGAGCTTCCAAATTCCCTTCCCTTTCGATTTCGATGATGGCCTCTTAGTAAATACAGGTAGTTGGTGAAAATATTATTCATTGAATGTCCGATTTGTGAGTTTACATTGAAGAATTAGATTTTTATATCAGCGAATCTGCTTGAACGGGTTAATCTCCCTTTTTTAATTGTCATTATATTATTTTCGATTTTGCGAATACTTCATCATAGTTTCCTACAGACTGATAAAGCCGTAAAAGTAGTTTTAACTATATTTATGACTCTTAAACATCGAAGATCTGTATATCTGTATACCTGAAGATCTGTATGTTTGCATACGCTCAATTTTAGTAAGTTACTAGCTGTACCCGTCCGCTTCGCTGGGCATTTAAAATTAACATTATTATTTCTCACCCCCACAAAGATTCTCATCATTAACACCCCCGCAACTGGTGTAGGGGGTCCAACACTCATATAAATATTAGCCTAACCATTAAGTACATGTATTTTCTACATGGATACCAAGTTTTAAGTCAATCGGATGCATGGTTCAGTAGTTATAACGGAACATCCGTAAAAACCACTGTAGATTTATATATTAGTATAGCGTTTCGTGAGCTGGCTTAGCATCAGTCAAAAATTCTGATTTGAAAGGTGGGTTATACAAATAAATATAATTGAAACTTTTAGTTCTCTCGTCTCAAGGTGAGCGGTGGCACTTACGTTATGACGTTTAAGAATTCCACTAACCATTCAAATCAAATGAAAAAAAATTTAGTTGTGTTCTATTTATGGCCTTTGTGAAATAGTGAGACCCGAACAAACAAAGTATTGCAATATTTATGACAAAAACTGTAAATTCTGATATCATTCTATATTTAGTAGCAGCGTCCATTAACAGTAAATAAGTATTTAAAGAGATAATAAAAGCTATACATTCCTTCACAGTACAAATTGTTTATATTTATAGTAAACTAAGGACACGGCTGTTCTATAATGGTGAGAACTATAGGTTTCACAAATTGTTGCAGTAAACAAGAAAACAATTATTTTAACTTTAACTTAATATATTTGGAACAATTACAATTACATGATATCTATGTGGCTTAAGGATGTTTAAATAACAAACTATACAATGCTAACAGGAGATTGAGGGAAATAGATGTTTGACTTTTGATTATTTTTTATTAATTGTACGTTTTATACGAGTATTTATGTACCAGGATTTTTAGACTATACATAAATCCATATTTACCTTAATTATATTTACATTTGTGTAATCTACAGAAATTGCCACCATTTTAAATTATGCATACGGAGCCAATTTACCCATTCATTTGAGGAGACTAAGTAATTTTATGTCGATACTGAGGAAACTAAATATTTTATTAGATATCTGAAAACATTTATTAAATTGCGTTTTAATCCGCTGAATGAGTTTCAACTTTAAATGATATATAATTTGAAAATATGATTTTCTAGATTCTCACTTTTGGAAGTACAAAAAAATCGCATATTGTACAATTTGTACAGGACACCATTAAGGAAGTCCGTTGCTTGTCGTCTATTGATGCACAAGGGAAATCACTAGGAAACAGTAATTATACGTTTTATACTTTTCCTCCACTGGATTTGCATCTTCGGTTTGAATTGTTTTATTTGTATAGATTATAAATATCAAACATTTTGTTTTACAAAAATATTGTATTGTTTCAATTGGTTGTTTTTGCAGTCCTTGTCATGTTATCATGTCTAAGCATTCGTACTGTATGTGGAAATTAATAATTATGTTATGTTTTTTTTTTTACATTAGATATAGATGGTTTAGTAGTATTTAATTATAGTGTTCTGTTTTTATAGTTACATAGTTTAATATACGGATGGGTATCGGGAGCGTGGGGCGTCCTCCAACCAGGTGGACATACGACTTAGTGTGCACGGCGGGAAGTCGTTGGATGCGGAAAGCGGAGGACCGCATTATGTGGAAGGCATTGGGGAAGGCCTATGTCCAGCAGTGGGCTGATAAAGGCTGATGATGATGATAATAGCTTACTATTATATTAGAATTTTTCAGTGTTATGAAATATGTCATCGACTTATGGATGCAGCTTATGGCAGATTATGGTTTGCCAGATAAACTTACAATCCACCGAGTAAATGGCTATCGTTGCTAGACAAACTTCTTGCCGCTGGACTCCTTGAGATCACATGGCGGTCATACTTGTGTTGTAAAATAGCTGTCCTACTCTTCAAACCATATCAATACTTCAACGTATAAATAACAATACCGAGGTAGATATTATTAATGTCCTCTAAGTGAAATAAGCATTTTCTGGATCTCGAGACACAGCACTAATTAACCTTAGCTGAGAAGTCAAACTGTCAATGCGACATAGTTTGTTTTATTTCTTATAGCGACCCGCCCTCGCTTCGCTTCGGAAACATTAAATTTTATTACTGATAGCTGTCCCGCGACGTTACCAGCGGCTATTCTCGTACCGTGGGCGACGCCGCGGGGCAAAGCTAGTCTTAAAAAAAGTTGCTTAAGTTACTCCTTATATCATCAGCTACCTATCAGTGAAAGTCCCGTCAAAATCGGTCCAGCCGTTCCAGAGATTAGCCGGAACAACCAGACAGACCGACAGACAGACAAAAATTTAAAAATATGTTATTTTGGTGTATGTACCGTATATATATATTCATATGCATGTAGTAAAGCGAGGCTATTTCAATATTACAAACAGACACTCCAATTTTATTTATATTTATAGATAATTAGTTTCAATCTAATAAATTAAACAAAAATCATTCACAAAAAAATAATACATACTTAATTACCGTCTAACTTCTTTGGTTTCAATGTAGACCGACGCTGGGGCACAAATTCCATATCAGTGTTTTTACTGACATTTCCTTGTTCAATTCTATCGTTATATTTGAGGTTCACTGACCCCATCTTTTGAGAAGCAGATGCGATTATAGACGCAACAGTGAACGAGGGATGCGGTAAATCCGGGATTTGTGAAATATAATAATCCTTTAAGCTTTGTTGTTCGTCTTTGACTGTGGTATCGTTAATTTCGTTGGATAGTTCGAATGATATATCTGTGACCTCATTCAAGTCAAACGAATCTTCTTTTTGCTTTCGGTAGTACGAAAGGCGCAAGTGAGAGTAGTCGTCAATGAAATTATCTGTTGTGTTTTCTTCTTTGATTGTATCAGAATGTTGCACACTAGTTTCTTCCGACATATTTTACGTTAAAATCAAATCAGCAGCAAATATTAATTTGACGTTTAGATTTCAATTAAATGTATCGACTCGTAGGTAGTCGTAATTATTACGAACATGACAATTGTATGTGTAGGTAGACTTAGTTTCGTTTATAAGTTATCGAAATAAACTTATTTCTAAAAATGACTGATTTTTGGAACGAAGTTCCTTATGGGACGATGCGGAGGGGTACCCTAATTGGAAAAAAACGTCCGTAACGTAAGATTTTTATTAGTAATGCACACAGTGTACGACTTAACTTTATAATAACGTACAAAAAATAACATATTTTTTCATCATTCATTGACCACGATCTCAGAGCGTTCGTTTGCGCAATACACTAACTCTTATGCAAACAACCGTGAATGAAGTGTACCACAATAAGTTCGCACGTTACCGAATGACCGTGGGTTGTTGCGAAACCTCCAGTTTTATTTTCTTTATACCTCGAATAGAACTTAGAATTTATATTTTTATATTATGGAACTTCGTTCCTATCCGGTGTCCCACGACACCACACATCTTTTCTTTTTATTAAATTTTTTTATAGCTTAGATGGGTGGACGAGTTCACAGCCCACATGGTGTTAAGTGGTTAGTAGGTTAGGTTAACGTAAATGCCCACCTACCTTGAGATATAAGTTCTAAGGTTTCAACTATAGTTACAACGGCTGCCCCACCCTTCAAACCGAAACGCATTACTGCTTCACGGCAGAAATAGACAGGGTGGAGGTCCTACCACGTAAAGTAATTACGTATAGTTTGGCGTATTATTGTTTTAAAAGGTTGCGTAACATTATTGTTTTAAATGGTATATAGAGCAAGTCGTCGTGGCCTAAAGAATAAGACGTCCGGTGCATTCGTGTTGAAGCGATGCACCGGTGTTCGAATCCCGCAGGCGGGTACCAATTTTTCTAATGAAATACGTACTCAACAAATGTTTACGATTGACTTCCACGGTGAAGGAATAACATCGTGTAATAAAAACCAAACCCGCAAAATTATAATTTGCGTAATCACTGGTGGTAGGACCTCTTGTGAGTCCGCACGGGTAGGTACCACCACCCCACCTATTTCCGCCGTGAAGCAGTAATGCGTTTCGGTTTGAAGGGTGGGGTAGCCGTTGTAACTATACTGAGACCTTAGAACTTATATCTCGAGGTGGGTAGCGCATTTACGTTGTAGATGTCTATGGGCTCCAGTAACCACTTAAAACCAGGTGGGCTGTGAGCTCGTCCATCCATCTAAGCAATAAAAAAAAAAAGAGAGTTTATCGTACCGTGACATTTTCAAGTACGCATGATTATTCTTATTAACCAAAAAAACTGTCGTTTAATGTTGTGGATGAAGTTATACACTATCACGATGCGTGAGAGTGAGATTGGTATTCCTGATCACTGGAAACCGACAAATAATCCGTCGATAACAATACTATCTCACATGACAACAGATCTTATCAACGCAGAATCCACCGCCGGCTATAAAAGGTGGAGTGAATGTTTCTCAGTACCACAGCGAAGTAATCCGGGAAAAATGAAAGTCGCTATTGTGTTTATGGGCTTGATCGCTCTTGGCTTCTCGTTGCCGCAACCGAAGAAGAGCTTCGTAGAAAACTTCCGTGATTTCCTTGACATAATTAAGGACGAGGCTGGTCATGATATCGAGCATTTGTTCGAGCATTACATCGAATTTGAGGAGTTCCAGCGTTCGTTTGACTACCTCACCACGAAGGACTTCAGAGACTTGATCTATGAGATGGAAGACCTGCCGGAATTCAAAGCTGTAAGTTTACCTACCAAAAACAAAAAATCTTTACTGTTGCTAAATTAATTTATGAATTACACTGTTCTTCTATTTCAGGTGGTCGATTTCCTGGAAAATGACAACATTGACATCCATTTCTTTATTGATATTTTCAACGAAATGATTGGTAAGCATAAATCATTATATTAGGTTGGGGAAAAAGTTTCTTCTCATTTTTTAAGAAAATTCACAACATTTTTATATAGTTTATTTACATTTAACTAAAGTATATACCATTTTGTTCGATAACTTTTTACCATCTTGTAGGTAGGGACATGATCCCATTGCTATAGAAATTTTGGGGCTTCCGATCAAAATACCGCGGCAATTGGTTTTGACAGTCCTCTCGTGATGTTAGCCTGACACTGCCTAAAGAATTCTGATATGAGAACGAAACAGGTGGAAATTTGAAGGTGCAAAGTCAGGACTACACAGCGGATGCATTAACACCTCCCAGCCAAGCTCTCTTAATTTTTGCTGAATGGCTAAAGATGTGTGAGGTCTAGCGTTATCATGATGAAAAACCACACCCCTTCTGTTGATTAATTTTGGCCGCTTTCTTTCAACTTATTGCTTTAATATCACCAGTTGTTCGCAGTAGATTTCAAAATCGATGGTTCTGCCTGGTGGTAACAGCTCATAATGAATAATGACCTTCCAAGCCACCACACACAGCATCACCTTGTTGCGAGTTAACCCGGGTTTCGCCACAGTCTGTGAAGCCTGACCGGCCTTTGACTACGACCTTTTTCGCACGTTCTTGTCGTACGTGATCCACTTTTCATCACCAGTTTTCAGCTTCTTCAAAAATGGTTCAGTTTCATTACGTCGTATTAAAGAATCACAAACGAGCACACGGTTCATTAGGTTTCTTTCAGTGAGCTCGTGAGGTACCCAAATATCGATCGTTTTGTGGTCAATTCCTAGTTCTTCAGCTACGTCGTGACTATTGATATGCCGAACTTGCTCCACTTTTCCATAATTGGCATCCATTTTATCCTTAATAGGGCGACCAGAACGACGTGCATCTTTGACATCAAAATTTCCGGATTGAAAACGCTTAAACCAAATTTGTGCTACTCTCACAGACACTGCACTAGGTCCATAAGCATTGCAAATATTTTTCACGGCTTGCGTTGCATTTTTACCTTTTTGGTAGTAAAATTTTAAAATGTATCGAATTTCTTCATCACTTCAGACTCACTCTTCAGATTCACTCATCTTGACAGTACGAAAAATAAATATAAATCACACATTTTCCTAATTTGAATTTGGAATTATCTTTTTTTAAATTTAAACTTTTAATGATACCAAAACCAGCCAGGTACAAATAGTATAGCCGAAGAGATTTTATTACAAGTTCATACATACTATAATGCGAAAAGACTTTTTCCCTCAACCTGTTATTTCACTGTTTAACTTACTGTGTCCCTGGCTTTTTCAATGTCCTTAAGGCACGGGACGATAATTAGTTTAAAGCAATTGGGCTAGGTTCGGTCTGCACAAATCTAATGAAAGCAACCCCGATTCACATCCAAGCACTACAAGTCTCTAATCTGTAGTCTTTATTCAATTAATATTTTTCAGAAACTATCGGTGAGAGAGTTAAAAGGGCCCGACACACTCTTAGCGGACGCGACTTCACTTCCTACATTAACGATATTATCGGTGAATTCCCCAAGGATAAACTCGCAGCCTTGTACGAACAGAAACTCGCTGAGGACGAAGAATTTAGAGTAGCTCTTGAGAACCTTCAGAGCGAGGAATGGGACGCCGTGTTCGGTGCTCTGTGGGAGAGTGAGCAATTCAAGGCCGAAGTTGATACCCTTGCTGAACACGGTATTGACGTACACGTCCTCATGAAAGAACTCTTCGCCATCTTCGGACAAAACTAATTGTCAACTTTATTACAATAAAGTTTATTTAAGTTACAAGATGCTTTATTTGTGTCTTGTTTTATCTGTGTCTTGTTGGAATTGTGTGGTTATTTGATTACCTTTTGGGTCAAGCGATGAGTGATCTTAAGCTTTGTAGGCACGCGCTGCTTCTATTCCCAGTCGGAGTTAGGAACTTGTGAAAGGTTCTAAGTACTTAGAATCTGAATTCACATTATTGGTGCTTATTGCTTCTTATTTTACTATTACCAATTAGGGCCGTTGAATGTGGAGTGTAGAAATTCTTTGTCATATATTTATTGCATTGAAATTATTATCGGATTGCTAAAACCTAGTTAGTTCAGTTATCAGTTGAAATTTTTATACTTCCTACTTAACTTAATGACTAGCTTTAGCAATTTACACATCCGAATATTTACACTTTTATCATTTATCATTTTCTTAATATGTGTGTTTTCAATTGTTTATTAAACACTACTTTAATCCAATCAGAAACAAAAGTTACGATAAAATAGCGTTCTTTATTTGTGAATGTCAGTAATGATAAAGACATCAAACATGTGAGTAGCTAACTTCTAAGTTCTCAAATGTTACATTATATTGTAAATATGATAGGGTCAATACCATCACTCGTCTTGAAGTTCGAAGTTCGAAGTTTTTTCCCAGCCCTCACACCGGAGTATATAACTATTTTGGGTAGAAACAATCAGAATTGCGGTAGCTACTCGTGTGGGCTCATAATATGTTCTACCTCCCGTAAAAAAATTAGTGGTTCTGGTGGATTTCTTTGGGATCCGTTGAACGCGTCCCATTCGGTCAACTCTGAGCTCATTTTCATATTTAAAATAAGAAAAATAATTTTCATTGTGATCGACGGCATTGGACGATTGTCACATTGAAAAAAATTGCTACGAAGCGATACAAGTCATAAGAAAAAAATAGGTTTAATGTTAAGTCACTTTCGTCTGTCTGTGAATAAGAAATATATGAACTTGGCTTAGTTTTGATTTATTGACATAAAAAAATCAATTTTTAATTTTGTTCTTAATGTAGATAAACCCTTAAATTATTTGCATACAGATACGGAAACTTGCACAATTAAAATACTATTAAGTAAATACTTGCAAAAATTCACTTGTTCCCCATCCTATTGTCAGTTACTAATGATTAATTGGTATTACTATACCAAACAACAATTAGCATTATTGTAAAAATGAGGCAAAAAATTGTTGTTTTTGTGGTTCCACAGTAGTCGAAATTCGACTATAATTAACTGAAATTATAAGTTTGTCAAAGACTATTAATCTTCTATAATCACATATTTCGTCAAGACTACACTATAGACAAATTATATTAAATACAAACAATATTTAATCAAACCTCATATGACCACAAACGTCAAGAACAAAAGTTTGACAATAAATAAATAGTATGCATGCGTGTGTGCGTCAAATACATAGTAGTGTGTGTAATGTTTTTTTTATTGATTTAATGTATTTTAGAGGCATAATTTAAAAAAATATTAACATTCTGCACTCCTTCTCTGTAAGTGTGGGAAATTTCATACTCCTCCGTCCGCGCAATTTTCGTAAAAAGGGATACAAAGTTTTTCTTTCACGTATTAGTATATAGATATATATGCAGTTATTCGTATCGTTGACATTTTTAAGTACGCATGACTATTCTTATTAACAAAAAAAACTGTCGTTTAATGTTGTGGATGAAGTTATACACTATCACGATGCATGAGAGTGAGATTTGTATTCCTGACTACTGGAAATCTGCAGATAATCCATCGATAACAATACTCACATGACAACAGATCTTATCAACACAGAATTCGCCGTCGGCTATAAAAGGGGGAGCGAATGTTTCTCAATACCACAGTGAAGTAATCCGGGAAAAATGAAAGTCGCTATTGTGTTTATGGGCTTGATCGCTCTTGGCTTCTCGGTGCCCCGACCGAAGAAGAGCTTCGTAGAAAACTTTGGTGATTTCCTTGACATCATTAAGGACGAGGCTGGTAATGATATCGATAATTTGTTCGAGCAATACATCGAATTTGAGGAGTTCCGGCGTTCGCTTGACTACCTCACCACGAAGGACTTCAGAGACTTGATCTATGAGATGGAAGACCTGCCGGAATTCAAAGCTGTAGGTGTACCTACCAAAAACAGAAAAAATCTTTACTGTTGATGAATTAATTTATGAATTACACTTTAAATTATTATTTTTTCAGGTGGTCGATTTCCTGGAAAATGACAACATTGAGATCCATTTCTTCATTGATATTTTCAACGAAATGATGGGTAAGCATAAATCATTATATTTCACTGTTTAACTTACTATGTCCCTGGCTTGTCCAATGTCATTAAGACACGCGACGATAATTACTTTAAAGCAATTAGCCCAGGTTTAGTTTAGACAAATCCGATGAAAGTAATCCTGACTCACATCAAAGTACTAGAGATCTCCAATCTATAGTCTTTATTCAATTAATCTTTTTCAGAAACTATCGGCGAGAGAGTTAAAAGGGCCCGACAAACTCTTAGCGGACGCGACTTCACTTCTTACATTAACGATATTATCGATGTATTCCCCAAGGATAAGCTCGCAGCCTTGTACGAACAGAAACTCGCTGAGGACGAAGAATTCAGAGTAGCTCTTGAGAACCTCCAGAGCGAAGAATGGGACGCCGTGTTCGGTGCTCTGTGGGAGAGTGAGCAATTCAAGGCCGAAGTTGATACTCTTGCTGAACACGGTATTGACATACACGTCCTCATGAAAGAGCTCTTCGCCATCTTCGGACAAAACTAATTGTCAACTTTATTACAATAAAGTTTATTTAAGTTACAAGATGTTTCATTTGTGTCCTGCTGGAATTGTTTTGCTATTTGTTAATCAATTGCCTTTTTGGTCAAGTGGTCTTAAGCATTCTAGATGTTACGACGCGCTGCTTCAATTCTCAGTCGGAGTTAGGAATTTGTGCAAGATTTGTGATAGATTTTTGGAGTGTGATTGTAATGATGATTCTTATGCTACTATTAGCAATTGGGATCGTATATTTTTATTTTTTTATTTTTTTTATTGCCCTTGTAGGCAGACGAGCATACGGCCCACCTGATGGTGAGTGGTTACCGTCGCCCATGGACTTCAGCAATGCCAGGGGCAGAGCCAAGCCGCTGCCTACCGCAAAATGCGTCTAATGCGTAGTGTAGTATTCATTTATCATGTATTTATTACATTGCAACTATTATTGAATTTCCTTAATTTAGTTATCAATTCAAATCTTTATACTTCCTCCTAACCATCTTTAGCAATTTACACAACCGAATATTTACACTTTAATAATTTATCATTTTCATTTTCTTAAGACGTTTGTTTTTCAATTGCTTATTAAACACTTCTATAATCAAATCAGAAACAAATGCTATGATAAAATAGCGGTTCTTACTTGCGGTTGTCAGTAATGATGTAAACATCAAACGACTGAGTAACTTCTAATTAGGCAAAGGTCTCAAATGTTACATCATATTGTAAATATGATAGGGTCAATACCGTCACTCATCTTGAAACGTGAGTTCGAAGTTTCAGTTGTATTGTAACGGCTGTACCAGCTCTTACATTGAAGTACATGACTGCTTCATGGCAGAAATAGGCAGGATGGCGGCAGCTACTCATGTGAGCTCATAGTATATTCTATATCCCGTAAAAAAATAGTGGTTGTGTTGAGAGGTGGTTAATGTCTTTGGGATCCGAACGGCTCCTATTCGGTCAACTTTGAGCTCAATTTCATATTTAAATAAGAAAAGCAACGTTCAAGACATAACGATAAGATCGTCGGTAGTGGACGATATAACTTAGATAAATTATTATGTAACAAAGCAGCTGCGATACAAATCTTAAGATAAAAATAAGTTTAATGTTGAGTCCTTGTTGTTTGTGAATAAGAGATATGTGAATTTAGCTGGTTTTGATTTACTTACATAAAAAAAGGTTTCCAATTTTTTTGACCTGTAGATAAATCGTATAATAAACTTTTTTACTTATATATACGGAAACTTTCGAATATTGTGCTAGGGTGCGGTCTGAAAATACTTGAATGGACTGTGTGGAAGGGGATGTGTAAGTGAAAAGTGTATGTAGAGATGACGTATGATAGGCCTAAATAGAAAATGTGGACCGATCACATAATAAAGCAAGATGAAGAAGCAGGGTACGGAAACATGCGTAATTACAGCACTAATGATAAATATCTGCAAAAATTCAATCGTTCTCTGTCCTATTGTTAGTAGTAATAACAAATAAACAATTAGCATTATTGTTTACAATTTTAAGATCAACATATCTTTAATTCATTCATACAATGCTTTCAGTCTTTATTCGTTTATCGAACACATCAGTTGAAGAGGCTCCAAACTATTTAACTTAGTCATTTAGTATTTTTTTTCTAAATAATGCGTTTTTATACTACACTTTTAATCCTCTTGTGGCATGTGAGATCGAATGTTGGTTTTTACGTTCCATTCAGTACTAGTGAGGTAAGTTTTAAGAACCACAGCGCAATATTATGCGATGTATCTTTCACAAATGTAATTCACTATGACATTGGGGTTGTTCAATTTTCAGCTCAAAGTATATGAAGAGAAGTTTATCTTATTGATACCTTGTTAATTCATTTTCAGCTGACAGATGAAGACTCTGCAATATTGGCAGAAAACTATGGCCTTTTAAGTAACCAAATGAAATCGACTACACTAAAAACAAGATTTGCAAAATCCGAACAAACATTATTTACATCAAATAATATGGGTTTGCTGAGCGAAGACCTTGATGAGACTCCTTTAAGAGAGCACGCAACTGACAAACCCAACAATTTAAAGGAAAGAGCATTTGTATATTTGAATCAAAAATATAAAACTCCGTTTCAAAATCAAGTTTATGATCTTCATATGCAAGCAATGGATATTCCATTGAGAAATTACAAATCTTGGGCGAAATCTCGATTTTCGAAATTTGTGGAATTCCCTGTGAAAATGGCTAGTTTCTTTCAACCGTCTTTATACCAGATTGTTGGTCCAGAAGCAAAGCAAACGGATTTTTATGGCGGAGCTACAAATGAAAATGATAATAAAATGAAAATGAAAACTACTGTTACCGATCATAATGACGCACCTAATGTAAACGTAGAAGACTTAGAAAGACAACGTATTCCTTTAGAATTGCTTAGTAAGCCACATGCAAGAAAACCAAATAAATATTCACCTAAAAATTATGAGCTAACAGATTATAAGGAGAATAAAATATATGTTGATAATCACTTTAAAACTATTCCATCAGTCAGTCTATATCAAACTCAAAGACCAATCGATGAATACGAAAAACTCAACGAAAGGACATCGCCTAGAGGTGGTAATTCAAACTTCGATATTGATGAGAAACAGATTCGTAATTCTGATATAATAACTTATAAGTCACAGTTGGTTCCAAACACAAATCAGGATTATTCTAACGATCAATCACATATTAAAGTATTTTTTAATAATGAAGATCTTAATTCGAAGTTTTCGTTCGGAAATCGGAATTGTAACGAACCAGATTGTGTTCCTGATGAAAATATCTATGGGAAACATTATTCCAATGCTCAAGTACCTCATAAACTAGATTGCAATTGCAATCATAAAAATAATGACGGTCATAAAAAATCAAAAGAAAGACTCGAAAGAGATAAACAACAAGCCCAGGAAACAATACTGACGGGACATAAGTGTCAAAATCATGTCCATGAAACACAAACTGAAGATATAATTGAAAACGAACTTCAGAATTCAGTAAATATTCTTAATCGTACATTGCAAATGTATTTTTAAGAAATTTGTATCTCTTTGATAAATTCCTGTTAACTTGTTGTCAATTCACTAGCCCTGTCTACACTATAATCTATTATTAATATTCCAAAGCTGAAGAGTTTGTTTGTTTTTTGGTTGAACGTGTTAATCTCAGAAACAACTGATCCGATATGAAAAATTCTTTCAATGTTAGATAGCCCATTTGATAAGAGTAACAAGATACACCCAAATCGCTTCGAGTTGGGCTTTAATAATTGTAAATTTTTCTCGATTTCTCCAGGATTCCATCATCAGATTCTGATCCTGATCTTTCCGGGACCATTCGGAAAGTCTACCCTTTCGAACAAAAAAAAAACGAACTATCAGAATTGATTCAAGCATTCTCGAGAAATCGGTGAACATATACAGATAAGAAAATGGTGGTCGAAAAAGCATGACTATGGTACCTTAAACAGCTCCTTAACATTCTATTATTCAAAACTATTTTCACCTTCTACGTAAATGAAGTCGCGGGTAAAATTTAGTTAAATATAAATGAAAATATGTAGGTACTCCATTTTGCAAAGTTAATAATTACTTTAAAATAATAAAATGACTTCTTTTATTACTGATTTCATTTCAAAGTCATTTAGAAGAAACAAATAAACTGTAACGCGAGCAGCGTTGCTGTTGCATTTTAAATTTTACTGGAAACACAATACGAGCCTCTTGCCTACATTTGTGCGTTTTATGACGTTATTCGGGGTAAAATTTCGAAATATATTCATTTCAATATGTAAGAATATGATTACAACAATAATTCTATTGGCACGTCTTTACTTTATAGAACAGTACGCAGAAGGGACGTGAGACTAGAGACGTGTTTTTCACAGCACTGCTGCGTGTGATCGCGATAACAGTGGCTCAAAGCTATCGGGATTGAGATCGCTGCTCGCGACCCCTTCTCACTCACTGGGCGTTTGTTGCTTCGAGAAATGAAAAGCAAACACTGTACCACGCCAACAGATGTCCAGATATCCAATAGCCTTCTGCGAACTAAAGAATTTGCTGGAAACGGAGAAAGTAAATTTAGAGTATTTAAAAAAAAGGATTGTGTGGTTTTATGAAACCACGGTAAAAGTGAAACTTTTTTTACACATTATAGACATTTAACTCTGACAAACAACATTTACATTAAACACTGACAAAAACAAACGAAATAGCGTGGAGCACTGGCACAAATGAGTAATAGTCTATACACAACTTTTTTTTTTTAGCAATAAAAAAAAAAAAAAAAAACACTACACGGTCAGCTGCTGCGAACTATAGGCGCGGCCATATTGGCTTTGGCGGCTCTGACGAGCGCCTTTCACTTTATCCTTACTCCGCGGCCGACCGTCACGCGACATGCAACACACAGACGAAAAAGTTTGAGTGTATGTAATAAAAAAATTCACTTTAAAAATAAACAATTCACCTCTCTATTCGTTTTAGCGGTTCCATGATAGTATTGTAAACTACATAATATTTTTAATTTATCATTCAAGAGCCTGAAATAAAATGAATGAGCGAACCTCATTAAAACAACACTCATTCAACGATCTTTGCTTTTTTCCTTCCACGAATGAATCACGCGTCGATTTCTACTCGAATATAAAACGATATTATTAATTATACTAAAATCAAAGCTTCAATCTAATTTGGTTTTGTATTTTTAAGAAATCAAATTTCAGTTTATGAGCTTATTTATGGGAAATTTAACTAATATCATACGACATAAAATCGTAGATTGTCGTAATGGTAGAAGAGTTTAGTAGAAGTGAATCTATTAATAAAGAAAGGAAGCGTGTAAGTATACCTTACATCTATTACTGATCTTTACTTTGGCCTAGTTGTATTTTTGTTCATTCAAGCACCATGTAAATACTAAAACTATTGGAATTAGTAAAGCATTTTGTATGTTAAATCCCATAAATATTTTTTCAAACATATAAATGCCGGATGTGTTCGATTTTCGTTATATGCTATATGAATATGCCAGGGCATAAATTTCTGAAGACAGTAAATACGTAGATACCCATTACGTTTGTAATAAAAAAAATGTAAAATGTAAATCCACAAAAATATCGTACATTTGCATATCAGATTTCTAAGATTAATTTAAAAAATGTACAGTACCGAAAAATGGCTATAACTAATACATTAGTAAATTTTAGTTTAAAAAACGTAATTCTTTCCAGTTTCTCTATGCGTACAGGGTTCTCGGTCCTTATTTGTCCAGGGAAATGACTTCGCTCGGACTTGTGTCATTGTTCGACGATATTTGTGACCGTCATGTAAGGCGAAGATGTGATAGTTGTTCTTTGAAGTAGTAAATATTTCCATCTTGTTTTGTGGGAAAAAGAAACAAAATACACTTGCCGCTCAACACATCTTTCTTTGTAGATAAAAAGATATATCTTTTAAAAATCTTTGTAGCGTAAAACTTCAACAGGTTTCCAAGTTAGGAACTTTCAGTATCACAAAGCTTCGTTCAGATCTGCCGATGTGCATATTTCATTGTGCGCAGCCTTGAGTTCAAATTTCTGATTACAGGGTTGATTTAAGGAGATAATTTATTTTGTAATGATCGACATTTTTTTTATGATTAGAATGTGTGTTCTTTTTATGAAATTCTATTGTTATAATATTTGCTTAATAATTGAGATTTCCAGTTAAATGTTCCGTAATTTGACTGGGGTTCTGTCCGATTCCTTGTTTTGACCTCTGGATATTCGTAAGATTTGAGGTCGAAATCTCAATTATTTTACAGCTATTATATTTAAAACAACAGACTGCTTCGCGAGAAAAATAGGCAACATGATGGTACTTATCCGTACGGACTTTTATACCCTACAACCTATGTGTATATCGACTAGAATTAAAAAAAAAAACTAATTAGTTCATCTAGGTGATTCGGTCGGCAGGTCGCCGTGTCGCATTGCCATTAACAATGTAATATATAGGTGAGAGGCTTCCAATTGTGAGCACTCGCCAGCACTCTTCATGTTATGACAAAAGGTTTTTTTCCCTCAGATTTGTTCCTGAATATCGCTCTGTATCGAGGTTAGCAGAGCTTCTACTTACGCCCAGAGCCTACTTAATTATGTAGATGCGAATGATCGTTGCCATTCTCTTGTTTTATGATCCTGGAAATGACTCTCCTGGGTTGGACAGTATTATTAGACGTTTGTGTTACGATGTTGAGCAATATTTACCTGACAATGTGGGACTGAATTACAGGAGAGTATTAGTAGTACAGACGAACTATTAAATTGTGATCAGATACATACATAATTCATTTCAGTATTTCGTCAACGAACCTATCATAGGTATTATTGCTAATAAGCTAAAAAATTTTGAGTGGTTCCCATGTTCTCGCATTGATGCAATTTTGTAGGTAGATAAGAATGAGAATTTATTTATTTTATGAATATGTTATAGTAAATAGTATAGTATATAGTAAATAGTAAATATAAAATATATAGTAAATATAGTAAATCAATAAATTTGAATGTATGTTCGACGTGTATGGATGGTTCCTTCGATGCGTCAGATTATTATGAGATTTGGTTTAAAATCAAAATTAATTTGATGATTTAATTAAGAATTAATTATATTCATTTTATTATTTCCGAGTTTTCGAATACTAACAGCTTTTGTGGCAACGGACTACTGAAAATAATAAGCGCGAGAAAATCGAAGAAGATACTGAACTTGGTATAGTTAGTCTTACTGGTGGTACAACATCTTGAAAGTCCGTGCGAGTAGGCACCATCACCCTGCTCATTTCTGCCGTGAAGCAGTAATGCGTTTCGGTTTAAAGGGTGGGGCAGCCGTTGTAGATGACTATGGGCTCCAGTAACCACTTAACACCAGTCGGGCTGTGAGTTCGTTCACCCATCCAAGCTATAAAAATAAAAAATTATTACTTGCACTCCGGGACTGATCCAGGTAGGTGCGTACATAAATTCAAGAAATCGATGAAATTACATACAATTACCCAATCAGTCAGCGAAGCGTAACCTTGTTTCACAAGTAACTAATAAAACTATTTCCTACCTATATTATTATTGAAATCGAATACTCAAGTAATTTAAACAACCAAAAATATATAAAATTCAATACCTCATCTTGTTAAACTGAGTCCGTGTAATGAGTTTAAATTTTTAATTTAACATGTTTCCTCGTTGCTTAAACTTTTACCAGCTCAAGTTTATTGCATACCTAATTTTGATCAGTCATTCTCGAAGCTTCCATCAATAGAATCATGCTAACGAGATTTTATTTACCCGTAAATATGTTCAGTAAAAGATCCACTGAATTAGTCCAAAATTTATTATCAGTCGATTTGAATGGAGCTTCGAGCGCATCAATCAATCTAGTATGACGGGCAGAAATTGAAAGAATGCCGGTAGATATTGGTGTAAATATTCTGGTATGTTTCGCAATTGATAGGGAATGGGTTTTTTGTAAGGAAACTTGATGAAAATCTTCGGATGAAACATCGTTTAATTTTCCGAAAGCAATTAATTTTTTATTTTTTTTACTAAATGAGCATGAAAGTAAATAAACTTTTTTTAATTTTTTATTGCTTAGATGGGTGGACGAGCTCACAGCCCACCTGGTGTTAAGTGGTTACTGGAGCCCATAGACATCTACAACGTAAATGCGCCACACACCTTGAGATATAGTTCTAAGGTCTCAGTATAGTCACAACGGCTGCCCCACCCTTCAAACCGAAACGCATTACTGCTTTACGGCAGAAATAGGCGGGGCGGTGGTACCTACCCGTGCGGACTCACAAGAGGTCCTACCACCAGTAAACTGACGGATCTCTGGTAGTTTATTTGTATGTAATTATAATATGTTATGTATAGCGATGGCATTGACGTTGTGGTGTTTGTGAGCTTAGTTAGCAGTTTAACAATAGTCAGATTACGAGCTGGTACATTTATACAGAAGTCATTAAGGCCTAAATAATAGTAATAGTAACAAGGGAT